AAAAAAAAAAAAAAAAATCATTAATACCACTGTGGACAAGGATGGAGAGAAACACACATTCAAACAACCAGTGGGACTATGAATGTTCCCATCTTCTTGGGGGCAATTGGCTGTTGCAGCCTTTTAACAGAACAAGGCAGAGCCAGAAGTACTTATACTTAAAGACATCAAAGGTAATACTGCAAAACAGTATCAGAGCTATGTTCTCATTTTTGAAAAAGAATTAGTACATATGTAGAAAAAGAAAAAAATGAAAAGAATATGAACATTAACAATAGATGACTTTGGGAGGGGTGCTACAGGGGATGTTTACTTTCCATGTTTGAATTTTGTATAATAAACATATTACCAATGCAATCAGAAAAAATAAAGATCTTTACATCCCATTGTGAGCAAACTGGCTAGAACATTCATTGAGTCATCAGACTCAGTGTTCCAGCTCTGGGCACCAGAAACCCGGGAGATGAAACCAGCGATGGCCCCAGAGATGGCCCCTGAGAACACGGAGCTAGCAGGCACCTGTGCAGCAGCTTGCAAGTCGTGTGAAATCAGCCTTCCCAGTTCTTGACAGTTCACTGGCTCTGGAAAAATATGCAGATTCTTGAGGGGGCGACTGAGAGGTGATGAGAACCAGCTCTCAAGGACAGATGGACAAGGAAATCTGTGTCCAAGGCCTGCAGAGGGGGTGGGAGGCCTGGTAAACAACCTTGCTTCAGGTTGGGACCACAAAGACAGCAAAAGTGGGAAAGAACGAGAAAAGCCCTGCCAGGGACTATCAGCTCTAAACAGACTCACCTAGGCCTCACATTTTTTTAACAACAACAAAAATCTTATAAATATGCGGTACACAATCAAAACTACCAGGTACACAAAAGAGACAAAATAAGAACAAATAAAAAACTAGTTTACTACATTCAAAGAGATAAAAGATAAAGATTGAAAATTTTGGAGATAACTGAAATTTTTAAAAATCACGCTACAAAAATTTCCAGAACAAAAATACAATAACTGAAATTAACAATGTAATGGATAGGTTTTACATCACATTAAAAACAGATGAAGAGAGAATTAGTGAATTCAAGTCCAGTCAGATAAACATATCCAGAATGAAGCAGAGAAAACAAAAGGATGGCAGATACAAAACTGTGGGTAAGAGGAGGGGAAAGAGTGAAAAAGTCTAAGATATGTATAATTGAAGTTTCAGAATAAGCAGCAAGAGACTAAAGCAAAGAAAAATTTAAAGAGCTATCTAAGCATTTACTAAAACTGATTCAAAGAATTATGCCATAAATCTTAAGTCTTACAAACCAAAAGTAATAATAATAAAACTATATCTATACATTAGAAAAGGAGGAGGGGAGAGGAGGAAGAAAACGAAGACAGACATTCTTAAAAGCAACCAAAGGGAAACGATTACCTTCCAAGGAGCTACAACTAGCCTGATATCTGACTTCTCAACAGAAACACTAGAAGCAAGAAGACAATAGACTGATATATTTGGAGTTGAAAGAAAATAATCAACAACATAGGATTCTATACTTAGCAAATGTATCCTTCAAGAATAAAGGTGAAATTAAAACATTTTCAGATAAACAGAAACATTAAAACTATCTTGTATTCTTCAAGGAGAAGGAAAGAGATCCAGATGTAAAGGCAGAGATTTAGGAAGGAAGAGCAACAAAGACAGCAAATATTAGGGGGAAAATCTAAATAAATATTTGAATAAAAACAGTTTTATGTGATTTATGATAGAAAGGATTAAAATAAATTACAACAATGGGGTAATGGAATTAAAGTTAAGGTCCTTGCATTGTCCAGGAAGGATGTAAGAGTACGTATTGTTAAGACTTTGGTAAAACACAGATACGTGTTTTAAATTCCAGAGTAATCACTAAAAAATTAGGAAACAAGCACAGAACTTTGAAGCTAATAGAAGAATAAAAATGTAATAAAAAATAACAAACCAAAAAGAGAAACATGAACACAGAACAGGAAATACAAATAGAAAGTAAACAGTAAGATGGTAAATTACACCCAAATGCACCAGTAATTGTAATAAATGTCAATGAGCTAAATGCTGATAAAGGTACACTGGATCTCTCTGTGTTATTTCTTACAACTGCATGTAAATCTACAATTATCTCCAAATAAAAAGTTTTAAAAATAAATAAAGGATCAAAGACTTCAACTAAGAGCTAAAATTATCAACTCTAAATCTATAAAAACTACAAATCTCTTAGAAGAAAACACGGAGAAAATCTTCATGATGTTGGACTGAACAATGATTTCCAGGCTAGGACACCAAGGCACTTGTGCACACACAAACAGGTAAATTAGGCTTCATTAAATTTTAAAACTTTTGCACATCAAAACACATAGAATGGGAGAAACAATTTCCAAATCATATATCTGATAAGGAATTAATAATATCCAGAATATATAGAGAACTCCAACAACACAACAAAAACAAAACAGCCCAATTTAAAATGGAAAAGGACTGGGGCCAGCCAAGTGGCTCGTTGGTTATGAGTTGGCTTGGGAGCACGAGCTCTGAGTAGCAGGGCCCCAGTTTGGATCCCACATGAGGGCCAGTGATGCTGTGCCCTCTAGAGCTAAGATGGTGAACAGCAGCTCGACCTGAAGCTGAGCTGAGCTGCCGTGAGTCGCCAGCAACAGCGTAGGCTGCAGTGGGGCTGCAGTGGGCTGCCGTAAACTACCGTGAGTGCCGGCAGCCAGCGAGAGCTGCTATGAGCCACTGTGAGCGGGCTGTCCAATGGCCGGCGACCGATCTGCCTCAGCCGGGAAGAGCACAATGATCACAATACCAACATGGGCCAGTGAAGCGACGTCCTCCACAACTATACTGAAGAACAAAGGACAGCAACTTGTCTGTTCCCCTTCCCCGATTCCCCAACGCTGTTCCCTCCTCCAATTCCCCAATAAAATCTTTATTTTTATTTTTTTTTAAGATTTTATTGGGGGGTTGGGGGAGGGGAACAGTGTTGGGGAATTGGGGAAGGGAACCAGCCAAGTTGTTGTTCTTCGGTCTTCGTTGTGGAGGGCGCCAGTCGCCATCTGGCTTCCCGTCGGCAGCTCATAGCCTCTAAGCTCAAGGTGCTGTGTTCAATCTTAGTTGCAGGTGGGCATAGCCACCATCCTATGCGGGAGTCAAACCAGCAGCCTTGTTGTTAAGAGCACACACTCTGTCCACTGAGCCATCTGGGCGGCAGCTCAGCTCAAGGTGGTGAGTTGTCTTAGTTGCGGGTGGGCATAGCCACCATCTCATGTGGGAGTCGAACCAGCAGCCTTTTTGTTAA